CGATCAAAATCATTGGAACCCCAACTAAAGGTTTTGAAAATGTACATACGAGTATTTCGTTTGTACATATAGTACATATTTTGTTTTAAATCGATATATTTGTAAAAGTAAAGCTTAGTTAATGACATTATTTGCGATAATAATGAAGTTTTGTTTATATTATATAGTTAATTTTTTTTACAATTTTTGTCTCAAATTCTATTGTAGTTTGCATTCTAATGAACACATTGATTTTATGTTCCATATATGAATCATTTTAATCATACCTATTAAATTATGGAACATTTTATGAACCATTGTTATAAAATAGAATCTGTTCATATCAAAATACAGAATTAAGTTGTTCGCACATGGATCAAATTGCACTTTCAAAATAGTGTTTTTCACATTTTGGTGATTTTATAATAAGAGAAAATAATCATTATCTGGACAAATACATTCTACATATTATTTGAACTTCAGTGAACAAGTCAGAGTGGGTTAAATAAAAAACTTTTGTCGGGTTTTATGGTGAGAAATAACTTTTAAATATGAATTATTGAAGTGTTGGAAACTATCTTAACTTCGATATTTGTTCTAGACACATATATGACTCGCAAGAGGAATTAGGCAAGGGCTATAGAAAAAGAAAGGCTGCAGTTGTATCTGAATCAGAGAGCGACACCTCTGTTAGTGAAGGTAATAAATTACTACAGTTTCAAAATAGATCAATATTTTTATATTATTATAATGTACAGGTGCAGCTGTAGCAGGTGTTCCTGACCTCGTTGACTGGAAGTTATTGAGGTCCAATTCCGGCCTCAACGTAAGAGGTAAATTTATAAAAAAAATCATGATCGTATAAAATATTTGTTTTATATTTTTAAACAAATTTGTTCTTAATGCAGCTACTACGAGCGGATGTCTGGCTGAAGCTCCAACGCATGGGGTGGCTGAAGCTCCTACGTATGGAGTGGCTGAAGCTCCAACGCATGGATTGGCTGAAGCTCCAGCCCATGGAGTAAAATCTGTTCCAATGCATGAAGTGGAAGCTGTTCCAATGCATGGAGTGGAAGCTCTTCCAAGCAGAGGACAGGAAGCTTGCAATTGCCTTTTTTTAAAGAAGTACAGTTGCTCAATGAGCGTATTATGAATATCGAATGTAAGTAAAATGTGACTCATTGTTTATGATGTTTTCCTAACATCCATTTCTGTTACAGCTGTCCTTAGCGTTGCCTTGTCAGGTATTGATTGCAAAATGGCTAGCATGAATAAAATATGCACGATTTGAACAAACAAAAACAATCTGATTTGGTGGACTTACCAAAAACAAACACTTTTGATCTAATTCTTTCTCTCTCTGGTGTAGAGGACCTACATTCATTGGAGAAGATGTTAAAAGATAGTGAAGAATTTTGTTCAGAATATGTAAGTTCTACTGCAAATATATTAATAATACACACACACACACACACACACACACATATATATATATATATATATATATATATAATATACATATATGATTTCTGTGTGTGTGATATGTATGTATGTACTCATGTTTTTATTCATGATTGCTTTAGAAAACATTTATTGCCAGGATTGGTGGGAATAATTTGGCAATGAGATGCTCCTAGTATGAGCATAAGGGCAATATTCCATTGCACGAAACGCATATAATTACATTATTAAGAAGTGAGCATTCATATTTATATACTGGTTTGAATTTGATTAATTCCTAATATTATTGTTATTATTATATAGGTGTTCTGAAAGTTGTTCACCCAGAATTTACGGACAGTTAATTTACGGAAATGATATCAAATTGGTCGCGATATGCTCGCCAGAGGAATGACAGGGCGGCGAGCAAAGCGAAGCCACCACATGAGCAGAATGATTCCTGATAGATAAACTGTATATATATTATAAATTAAGAAACCCCTTATTCTTCAGGAACTTTAAAACATTCTTTTTTAAATGAAAACTCTCACTAAAACTAAAATTATGCATGCACTAAAATTTTGATTTTTTTATTATTATAAATTTTGACCAACTAGTTGATCTAAATAAAACTTGATTAATATTTATTGAAAAAAGAGGTTTTTAGTTCAATATATACAATAAATGAGTGCATTCGATATTTTACCAGTTAGGAGATGTGTCGATATATTATTTTTGCTCCAGTACGCACTACACGCGTCACCCAATGTCAACAACGTGATGTATATTAAAAAATAACACGTCAACGAGCACAATTTCCCGAAAGGAAATTGCTTCGAATAATATACAGCAAAAATTTTATTTTAGTGATAAATTCTATCTCCGCTGTTTTTAACAAATGCTATATTCAAATATATTCTAAATGCATTAATAGAAAAACGATATATGATATAATAAGGATACTGAATGAGTATTGAAAATATATATTACAAATTAGTATATTTCTGAATTTATTAAATTTTACATTACTATAGCGTTATGATGTAGTAAAGTCATTATATAAACTGGCCCATACATATATGTTGTTGGGTGTTACTCTACTTGAGTAGACTTATTTTCTTTAAGTGGTCACTCAATGGAGTGATCCTTATACTTTTTCTTTACTTATTATTTTAATATTATTTTTATTATTATTATTATTATCATTCTCATCATTTTTCTTCTTATTATTATTATTACTGTCATTATTATTATTATTTTTATTATTATTCCTTTTATTAAATGTATTTTTTTGTTGTTAAATATAGCAAAATAGATCATACAATATGTAATTTGATTGCTGTTTATTAATTAATAAACATATATTTGATAATTATTGTTAATCGTTAATTTATTAAAACAAATAAAATATTTGTGAGAATATATAACAAATGATTTTAATTCAATAGAATAGAAAAGTAACATAAATTAGATTATGAAATTATTATATGTATCCATAACAAAATATAGCTGGTTATTAATGTATTTTTGAGAAAATTTTAGTCAATGTACAGTTATGTTTAATATTACTATTTTTCTCAATAGTGTTGAAAGTAATAGCAGATTGAATTAATGACATTTGCAATAGTATTGTGATTGTTGAAATTTAAAGCTTATTCAAATATAGACTATTATAGTTGCAATTACATTTTCCATAGCAGCAAGTAGATACATAGATGAAAAAAATATTATATTTAAATAAATTTAAGGGTAGTATTTATTCACATAGAGAGAAGAAATGTGCTGATTATAAAAACTATGAATTTAACTATGTTTATCAACAAATTATATTAATAATGTATTAAAATATCGATAGAAGTTTAGATAATAAAATATGATACAAATTAAAAAGTGTTGCAAATTCTTAACTAACACAGAACAGATAGAAAACAAAACATATATATTGGACAAATAATTATGCCAGAGTATGCTAGTTTGCCTATGTTTTCCTGAATTTTAAAGTCAAAATCTAAATTGATATTACTCAAAATAAATTTAATTTAAAAAATGAAAAAAGTGGTAAAATTGAATAAAAAAGTGGTTTCGTTTATATTGAATAAGAATCGTTTTATTATTGAATAAGACAAAATGTATATCAATTCCATTTCAGATACAATGTTCCTTTTTAATATACGTATTTAGTTTGCAATGGAAATAGGTTGTTCAGATTCAAACTTTGCCGCGGGCTAAAAAATGAACTTTTATTTTAGGGTGACTGTGACTGTATTTATTCGAAATGGCATGATAAAGAAATATAGAAAAGATATAAGCTACCCCTCGGAAACTTTAGCATTATCTGCTTTGGCAATACAATCGTTGTTTATGGAAGGCTCCCTTCTATATTTACTGTGTTTTCAATAAATACGAATGAATTAGCTTAAAATATTAAAACATGGATTTGAGTGAATGCATTTAGAGCATAGCATTTTTGTATCGTAGGCTCTTTGGGCTTTACCAAGAAGCCCCTATTTACCCGATACGGTATTTTTATTTAATTCTACCTACTAAATCTGGCCAGTGTATCAGATTACAAGGTCAATAAAAAAACTACTAAAGTTAGTACTAAACATTTAAAATAAAAACATATGTTTGACTTATACATTTGTTACTTGAATTTAAAATAATAATAAAAAAATATAAAAAGCGATGAGTAAATGTATTTTTATTAGTATTTGGAAGCAATTTTGTAAGGATTTTACATTTCCCAAACATAATAGTCTCAAAAAGCGCAAAGAATCTTGCCAAGTATAAGCCTTTTAAGAGCTAGCATATAGTGTCTCAAGTTTAAACATATTGAGTCAAACAAATTTTTATAAAAAAGAAAAATCTTTGTTAGTTTGTAGGTCCATTCGTAAAATTTGTATAATATAACTTTTTAATGTAATTGGTACAATATAAGTTAACAGATTACCCCGGTTTTTTGTTTTAACTGAACAGGGACCCTTGAAGTTGTCATGGACCCCCGAAGTCTTTGGGAACCATCAAGTTAGAGTAATTTATGTTATATTATATTGTTTTGTTCTTATCAAAAGTGAAATTTTCATATATATTTTATCGTCAAGCAAGAAAGGAGATAAGATTTCAAGGAAAATATTTCTTAAATAAAAAGTTAATCATTTTGGTAATAATTTAAAATCCTATAAAGTTGGTGATAACTGAGGGTATATCGTGATAGGAGTACCAATGGTTTTTTATAAATATATATATGAAATGTTATTCCTAATAATAATGATCAAAATCGTCAGTTCAATAATAATGATCAAAATCGAAAACGCGTTCAGTTTTCTTTTGTTGTAAAGAATACGGTTGACCAAATTGTTAAAAAAAATTTATACAGAATATTTTGAATCGCAATTTTATGATATTGAACACCAAAGAATATATAGGATAAAATAAATTAAATTTGCATTTTATTTTATATATTTAGATGAATTGAATGACATTCTCGAAAGCGACATCTATATTTCGACGAAGAACATATTTTTACCCTAATTATAACAACGGGTCTTCCATTGTATTATTTTTTTTACCGCCATTTTCGCATGGCCATTCAGTTGTCAAATAAATGTGCGTCTTACCTGTTGCGTTTTAAAATTTTAGGTTATGTCGGTTTGTTTTAAAATTGTTTTTATTGTATAAATTAGTATTTTAGTGAGTGTTTTACGTGAAACATTTTTAAAAATAAGCTTTAATTAAGAGACATTCGATGGCTACTCTATTAACAGATTTAGATGCTACTTGTGCTAATTTAGGTTATCATGAGCCGGATAGGTATTATGCAGAACCCGATGCTTTGCAAAATTTGAAGGTGAATTCTTATAAATATTGTCATTTAGTTCTTTGCATCACAAAATTATATATTTTTCATTTACGCAAACAGCATTTGATTTGGATATTAAGGCGAGACAGTGAAACTCATGATTATCGAAGACATTTGGGGCGAGCTAAGGTTCTTCGAACTGACTTGTTGCCTATGCTAGTCACCTATTCTAAAGAAAATGAATTATCAGATGTGCTTTTGAGGTATAATAGTTTATTAAGATTGTCTTTGTTATTTGGTATTGTAAATTATAGAGAATCTTTACATATTTCTTTCTTCGAAAATGATCTGATATGTATTTGAACAAATGCAAATCAGATTGTATATATATATATATATATATATATATATAAAATCAAGAACTATTTCATATAACATAATTATTTCATACAATTAAAACAAATTTCAAGATTAGAAGACACGAAGTAAAATTTAATTAGAGATCTATTCAAATAGCAAACTCGAGGAATTCAAACTCAAAATTCGATTATTGCTCTGTGCACACTTAATGAAACTAATGTGCATTTTTTAGAGCACTGAAATAAATAGATTGCCTTTCAACTACTACAATTCTTCAATTGTTGCTTTCTCGATATTTCAAACTCTTTGTTACATGATTTTCATAAATAGTTAGACCTAAATGAATTTAACTTACATAATACAAATAAAGTTATTGTGTTACTGATACATTCAGTATATTTTTGTAAAATTAATATAGTAAGCTAAATTATAGTGAAATTAACATAGTATATTATCTTTTTAAGGTTACTTGTGAATTTAACTAATCCCGCTTTGCTTCTATACCGTGAGCAACTGCCAACGGATGGTCCTGGAAGAAAAATTTACTTGGAAATTATAGAACATTTACAAAGTTATAAAGCTGCATTTGTTCTAGAGGAAGTATGGATCGTTTTGAGTACAAGATTGCAAGAAGCTTTAGATATTGTACGAAATAATGAAATAAACTTGATATTCAACTTTTAAGTTTATATTATATTGGAAACTTTCTTTTTATAGGATTGGGCTGAACGTAGCGAAGATCATGGATTAGTCATTGAAAGAATACTTGTATTAGCAAGAAACATCTTACAAGTACCTGCTAGTCCAGATGCTGAAAGAAGAGCTGATAATGATGCAAGTTTACATGATCAAGTAAGAAATATAAATATCAATAATAAAATACAAATTATGCAATTTTATATATTAGACACATATGCACATGCATGTACTTAATGTTTATAGTATAAATGTGAGTGAGCAATAACATTAACAGTACAAATAGGATTTGTTTCCATTTATCATCAATTTAGTTTTACAGATTAATATTTATAAATGGATTTCTTCACTTGTAACTGAATTTTTTCAGGTGCTATGGGGGTTACATCAATCTGGATTACTGGATATTGTTTTGTATATTACAAATACTCAACAAGAAAATCAGTATCATCTACATGCTATAGAAATAATTTCTCTTATGTACAGAGAACAGGTAAAATTTATTGTAAAAAATTTAAATGTTGATGCTAACTTGTAATAAAATGTGTTTATTCTCTAGAATGTAGAAATATTAGCTAATTCTGAGCTCCAAAGAAGCACTTCTGAAAAAGAGCGTGATGAACAGGAATTAGTTGCTGCAAGAAAACGGGAACAAGCCAAGATTAATAAATGTAAGAATATATCAAATTTTATTAACTTTTATTACTATTGTTAGTAATATATATAATTCTTTATATATTCGAAAAAGTTTTTTTGAAAAAAAAATAATTGAAATTATTTAAAATATTATTTGAAGAATATATACTCTAAAAATAGTTTTCAACCAAAGTTTTTCATTTTTAATCAAAAATAAGAATTTGGATTTTAAGTTTTTTTATTATCATAGCAATGTTTCTTGAATATTTTCGTAATAATGTAATATTTGTATATAATTTTTTGCACAGCTGTGGGCGCAACTCGTATGCCGCCGTCAGGACGACACTCACGTTTTGGAGGCACCTTTGTATTCCAAAATATAAAATCAATTTCTGATAATGATATGATATGTCATAAAGTGGTGGCTGGACCTGAAGAATTAAATTTGAATAAACTAAAAAACCGAGTTAAAAAACCGAAAAATAAGATAGTTATTGATACTAGTTCTGGCGAAAGGCGTTCAGCGTTTTCGGTCAGGTCAGTACAAAAAGCATTAAAACATTTTCAGCTAAATATATTAAATGATGGTAAATTGATAAATACTTGAGTGTATTTGGTATCTTTACTTAGTCTTTATTCATTTTTTTTTTAAATACTTTTGAAATTAGATAATTTTTATTAGATTTGTTACATATTCTATTCTAATTTTAATAATTAATATATCTACCAGTTCCAATTGTAATTAGGACAATTTCGAAAATATTTCTTCCATCTATATTGATAAAATTTATATTTTTTACAGATTATTTTTACGTGAATTTTGCTTGGAATTCTTGGCTTCTTCTTATAATACAGTAATGAGAGATGTTAGACGCATTGTTACAAGTTCTTCAAGCACTCCTGATGAATCATATTTGCTATGGGCTGTTCGATTCTTTATGGAATTCAACAGATTGAATGGTTTTCGATTAGACTATATTAGGTAATTAACTTAAAGCAAAATAGCTAAGTAAAGTTATTATTATTACATGATCTAGAATAGTTTAAAATTGAGAATTTTTTTAGCGAAACGTTAAGCACAACATGGTTTCACTGGGTTTTGAGTTGCTCAGATAAGTATATGGAAATGGCAGTTACCGATAAGAAAAATATGAGATTGTGGAGTCGTAGGCTTCATTTAGCTTTGCAGGTAAGTTTATGATGTATCTTTCAATTAAAATTATCATATCGTTCAAAAGCTGAATTACACTATTTAATTTTAATACTTTTTTCTGAATTTTCTGAAGGTCACATTATTGAAATAATGTAGATATTACCAATGAAACTAATTTTTTTCAGGCTTATAGAGAGTTTCTTATGAGCATTCAAGCGCTAGTGAAGTTGCCTTCGGATGAAGCAAAAGCATTAGCGTTATCTTTACAAAGCAATGTATTTTATGTAATGGAATATCGTGAAACAGTAATACATTTACTCATGCATTTCGATGAATCTAAAAATTCACGGTTGGTTGACAATATTATAATTAACATGAAAAATACCTTATATATATATATATATATATATATATATATATATATATGCTAATTTTCAGATCGTACTTGAAAGATTTGATTGAAACTGCTCACATATTTTCACGAATGCTGGAGAAATATTGCAAAGCTCAAGGCATGCGCGGGACAGTTATGATTCAACAAAAAAAGAAGCAGAAGAAGAAGAGTGGCACTAAAAGTGAGTTGAAATGATTTTTTGAATATACTTATAATCTATTTTTCGTTTTGTATTTTTATTTATACTCATCTTTGATAGTGAGTTCAATTTGTATTTTTTAATTCACAACAACATATAATATATTGTTGTTTGAATATTTTATACAAATAGCAAGTACAAATAGAATATATTTTTGGTTTATGAATGATATTTGAAAATAATAAATTGAAAGAATATAGCACATTATTCCATAAGTCGGGTCTCAGTTCAGTGAAACCTTTAACATCTGACGCTTTGGGCATTCACCGCCTCATCTAGCTCAAAGTTACAATAGCAGTAAAATACTTCTATTATTGACAACAATAATTTTATAGATTTAATATTTACACTAATATTGTATACAATTCTATCTGCATAATCCTTACCTTTTCGTATTTTTATCTTGCCCCTTAGAATCTGTTCCCAGCCAGGAAGTGCCAAAAGTTTCGCCTGAAGATCGTTGGTTGGAAATCGCACAACAAGTGACAGCCGTGCTTACTTCTGACGGCGAACAAATACCCACTGATATGATTCCATTCGACGTTACGAGTGAGGTTCCAATTGATGATCAGAAGTAAGTTAATCACAATTTATCTAAAATAACTTTTTACCATAATTTATCTATAAAAAAATATTAGACTGCTTGATTCGCGTCAACAATCCTGTTTCTTTTAAAGGGAATATTTGTTTAGCGTTTGATATGCTTTTCTGTCGTTTTCTAGTTTTTCTAATGTGTGCGGCTAAAAATCTATCAAACTGAAACCATGTTGCATGCCAAATAAATATATATCTGTATATTTGAAATAATCTGAACGAACCTTGAAAACAAATTTTTTTGCTTCATATTTCAGTTACAATTGTACTACAATACAATTTATTAAAATGATTTGAAGATCCTTTATGTTTACATAGTTAAAGTGTTTTATGTAAGAGAATTATATGAAACTTGTATCTCAATTATATAAAAATTCTATCAACAAGATTTTTAAAAATATAATATATTTCCAGGGAAGATTGTGTGAAGCGTATTCAAAACTTACTTAAACAAGAAAATTTTGAACAAGCCATTGGTCTCTTGAGAGCTGCTAGGTAATAACAAAAAATAAAATATTTGAATAAACTGAGGTCACAGATATAACATTTATCTTTGTTTTTTTTTAGAGAGGTTTGGCCTGAACATGATTATTTTGGAGCTATGAATGTGCAGCCCGAAGAAGAGCAAATGATTCTGTATGACATCTTTGTTGCAGATATAGGAAATAAAGGCAAGTCTGCATATTTATTTTAACAATATTTTGCTTTGTATTAATTTTAATGAACTCTACATATTTTGGGTTAAACAATGTACTATATGCTTTTCAGTGATTTAAGAGTTCAAATTACCACATTTATATTTTAACTAGCATCAACTCAAGTAATTATCAGAGCTTTTCGTTTTGAATAAAATTTATTTTGGGTTTAATGTGATAATATTTATATCCGAAAGAACAGAAAAAATATTTACTCAGCCGACATTTTTGTGATACTCTCGTATAAAACGAAGAACCGTAACATCGAAACGGCCATAAAATAAGCAAATAGGGTTTGAATGCTTTTTAAGCAAAGTAAACATCCAATTACGCATCAATAAGTACGAAAATACTGCCAGGAATAATTTGGTCGCAGACCAACCGCTGACAAAAAATATCACATATATACATGTTTTATATTTTGAGATGTAGGTTTATAAAATCAGTGTTTGCCCATTCTTTCTTAGGGAAGGAATTATTTGTTATAAATTGAAAATAAGTCATGAAATATGTAAAACGCCACCTGAAATGCCAAATCTTTTTATATACAAATTGTATTATAAAAAACGATAGATATGAATTCCCAAATTGAGTGTGATTTGTAACACGCTAACGTTATTCAAATGATTGAAGCACATTAAACTTCATACTTTTAAATTAACTACTTATTTTTGTTATTGCTTGGCTTTGTTATTTTTATCAAACACCGTCGCCTGGGTTGTTTTCCACATGTCTATTTGATAGAATGGCATCCAAATTCTGTCTTCAATTAATAATTTTTTTTTTGATATTTCATGATCACTCACATTTATTTTACTTAACTTGCTAGACACTTTTCAAAGTGTAAAATAAATTACTAGACATTATGCAAAACAAAACACCCTTGGAAAAAAGATTTAATTATCTTTAACTTGCGGAACAATGTCTGTTGAGGAAGCGGAAATACTACCAGAGCAGTAATTCTATTGCAAGTCAAGCATTTTAGTTTTACTACGAAATCATTTTACAATATATTGTGCCGGCACAGGGAACAAAAAATGCAATTCTCTGACTTGATGCAAATACAAAAGAATTATAATTAAACAAACCAGATAACTAAACTGTTGCAGTAAACGCATATTTTTGGAACACAGAAATAAAAGACATAACTCGGAGAACTTTTTGTTAGTGAACTTGGCGTTCGCGGCAATTCATGAATTCTATTTTATTCATGTGATGGCCAGAAAAATAAAAGTAAGTTTTTTGTATTAATATTACGATTAGTTTGAATTGAAAGAATTTCAACTAAATGTAACTTATATTTATTTCATGCAGTTTTTTCTACAAATACAACTTACATATTAACATAGAAATCTTATTTAATATTGTCGCATATTTGACACTTACATCTGGCATTTATCATTATAGTTACAAGTAATGTACAATTTGTTAATGAGAGCAAAAAAGTATTATAAAAAAACTCTATTTAAATATCTACAATATGATATACCTATATATTTTAAAATTTTTGATTGTAAAAATATTTGCTATTATTTCTTGGATTTGCACATGCGTTGTGTTTACAACAGTCAGGTCAATAACGATTATCGCGCACAAATTAATATTTTTGTCACCACAAATCGATATCTTGATCATTTCTTCTGAAAGGTCCATTTGAAGTAATCATTTTGGCACTTATATCTTTTATCAGACATCGTTGGTCTACGATCTCTGAATAGTTTTACTATCGTTGCTGTTACTATTAAAAACACCACAATGCCTAGCACTGCCAGTAAACCTGGGTGACCCGCAAAACTTTTTCAGGAGGATGTTCTACTAAAGCAGATGTTTTAACAATTGGTCGTCCCTTCGTTTCTGCCACCCGCTTTTGAGGCACTGGTTTTGTCAAATTTGATATTCTGTCGGTAGTATTGATAGGAATTTGCCTTCTAGGCTTATTTACCCTAAATACTTTGATTATTGGTATGGTTTGGAAGTATAATGAGATTCAGTTTTTATTTTTCGTGTAGGCACCGTCGGCCGTATCTGATTATTTCTGAATTATTAAGGTTTTTATTTTGCACATAACTGTCGTTGGCGGAACTGCTTGCGATTGTACGAAAAATCTTCAATTTATATACATTACTAATGTTATAAACTATAGGCTTCTTAAAATTAGAGCTCGTGTTTTCTTGTGCTGGTTTTTTCTTCGGATTTATATTTATAATTTTACTAGATGTCGCATGAATATGAGTTGTAGTTTCTTGAGATTCTGTAGTGCCAGTTTCTATAGTCGTCAAATTCCAGCAGCCTTTTCTTAAGTTGACACCCGTCAGGATTATTTTTATTGCCAACCAGTTTGATTCCTCGCATGTTAAATTGTTTCCTGCAGCGTGCAATTGAGTCAGGCGAGGAAAATTTAATAGAAAATTATCTCCTAATGTTAACAAACCATTACCTTCTATTCGTAATATTTTTAGTTCTGGTAATGTTAAGCTTGGCATGGCGCGCAGTTCATTATATGACAAGTCTAGAACCTCTAATTCCGTTAAACTAAAAGTTCTATAGAATTTACAGTGCTTACAAATTTGTACTTATGTTTAAAATCTCAATTCGCTCGGTAAAATTGAAGGAATCTCAATTAGATGATTCATAGATAGGTTTAGTTCTTCCAAAGTTTCTAACCTACCTAAAGCATCATCTTGGATGTAGCTGATTTGATTATTAGAAAGATCTAGCTGTCGCAGATAAGGGTAGCTGTCAAAATCACCGTCTAATATTTCCTGAAATACAACATTATTTCTTTGTATTTATTTCATGTTTTTAAAAATGGAATAGTTCATTAAATAAAACTTTCAATTTCTAAAATATAACTCGCCAATATATCTATTTTTTACAATATTTTCGATATTTTTTGTGAAATTGATTGATTTTAATTTTCATTTAATTGATAAACTTTAAATGAAGAACGACAAATTAAGCTTTTTAATATGCTTTATCTTTATCGTTTCAAATTCAAATTTTAAAATTGGAAATAATTTTTTTGTTTGTGGTGTTCCTTATATCAATTTTTTGAACACATTAAGTCAGCGGTTTCCAACCTTTTCTTCCTTGCGCCCCCCTTTCGAATGAAAAAATATGGCATGCGCCCCCCCCCTTCTTATTTTTCTAACAATTTAATTTAATATACTTAATATAACTGAAATTATGCCAAATAATACACATATTATAAAAATATACATGCAAACATAACTATTTATTATAAGAATTTCTGTTTTACATAAGTAAGATCTCACAAATGGTGATAAAATTTCTAAAGCATTATTTGTCAAAGTAGGAATCGTCCTTTACTGGTAACCAAAACTTAACAATATAGTTTTCGTCCTGAAACATCTGCTCAATGTGCTATCACTAGATAAATCAATTATCATCTTCTGCTCCGCTTTTGAATGACCAAAATCATCATGATTCTCAATGACAAATGGATTTCTAATCCATCCGTATTTGGACGTAATTAGATAGTAATGCGAAATTGGTTTCGTAGACTAGTCATGTGACTGATATAATAATACATCTTTACTTACTTCGTTTCATCAGTAACACAAGTAATTTTAAAAGTGGGAAACATGTTAAAGTTATAAAGTTATTTGATACTAGCTATACACATTCTAATTTTTTTCATAAAGCCGTAATCTTGTCTTTCTGAACAAAAGCTGAAATTTGAGATCCTGCATTGATTTATTTAAATCGCTAAGTCTTTAAAAAATATCAACTAAATACGCAAATTTTCGAGGAACTTTGTGTCCTAAACAAGATTGCTCCGTCTCTTTTGTTATCAGCAAGAAATATAGCAATTTCTTTTTTGAGCTCAAACGACTCTTAGAACACTTTAAGTATTTTGCTGATTTGTTTTTGACACTTACTCAGCATTTAATAAATAATATTTTTGAAACAGTTTTGCGCCCCCCTTCGAACGGTATGGCGCCCCCCTAGGGGGGCGCGCCCCACAGGTTGGAAATCACTGCATTAAGTGTTAAAATGTACAAAATGAATATTCTCAATATTTATTTGTTTTTTTTTTTACAAATTGGCTGCTATTGTTTTCTAAAGATATACTAATATGAACATATTATACTATATATAATATGTTTTTGTGTTTGCAAAATTATGAATAGATATCTAACCTGTAATTGATTGCCAGCAAGATCAAGCAGCATTACGGATCTTGTTAAAATTTCTGGTACGTGGTGCAAACCTGCTGCAATCATTCTCAATTCCGTAAGTCTCCTTGAAATAGCTACGATAGCGTTCAGCCCTGCTCCAGCTTGGAATTATGACTCAGATATAACTTGGCCAGCGCTGGTAGAGCTTGAAAAGCTCCCGCAGACGGTCCGAGTAATTTGTTATGCGTCAAATCGAGAACTGCTAATGCTGACAGATGCGTCAAACACGACGGGTAGATGTAAGCCAAGGAATTTCTGGACAAGTTTAAATACGTGACATTTGGCACGTCCAAGAAAGCGTCGTGTTCCAAGTCTTCGATCGAGTTTTGCGATAGATCAACTACTCTCGTAACTCTGCGAATATTTTACTTTGCAAGAATGATAGTTCCTGTACGCTGCTGTTACGAACGACAAGACTGCGGACGTTCGCGTAGTCTCGAAAGTCTAGAACATTGACATCGACATCTTCGCAGATCACAGACACATTGGTTAGGCGAGTGCAATTAAACTGCGCGGTTATGCTATTTGATGTCACATTGCCTCCGTTGCAATTCGGATAAATCGTTGTTAGAAGCATCGCGAACGACGTGAAGAACAAATTCTGCGCCGACTGCATAGTGCGGGGTTCTTTTTCTCGTTTTTTTTTTTTTTTATTTTAGTGTTATTCCTTAGTGTCGTTCGTTTCTTGTATTTTTTCGTCTTCAGTCGTTTGTAACAATCGCAGACGCTGTGAAATACGGGGTAGCATTTGATACTCCCCGGAGTCGTTTGTTCTCATTCTCGGATGACTTTAGTTCTATGTGTATCGGTGCAATACGTTTGTGTTCGCAGCCAAAGCTTTGGGTATGTTTATCTTTGAATAGGAGTTGCTTCTATGGGCTGATTGTAGCTCGAAGCTTTCTCTCTTCTCTCTCTCTCTCGACAAACGGGTGACCTGCGGAAAACAAATGTTGTTTATGTTTATTTACGCTCGAAAATGCGGTTGAATACTTTGCTTACACATAAAGAGAAATGTATTCAAACATATTTTTACTCTATTTTACAAGCTAACGACCTCGTGGTAATTAGAAAACTCGAATGCGACCGACAAAATAAGCTACGTGGTTAAACGAGCTTCGTTCTTTGCTATGAAGCTAATTAGTTTTCATGAATGAGTTTGGGGAAAAACTTTAAATAGCGTATTTAGCAATACCATTTACAAATAGTATATTAAATAGAAATGCAAATTATTGTAACAAAAATTTAATGTTGGTTGATCACGGGTGATTTAATTGAAACACAACATTTTTTATATATTTTATACATCAGGTCCCAGTTTTTCTCTCTCATTTATCATTTTGGCCGTACCTATGTGTTTTTTCGTATAAAAGCATTCGCCATTGAAATACTCGGAATTCTATATGTGTCTGTTTTCTATTCAGAGAGACTTTTGCGTTATTATTGATTGCGCTCGCGTGTATTACTAGTGATTCATATGACTGTGACTCAATGGAAGATAATAATTTTCCATAACTATCATTTAACTGCGATGGAAAATGGACAAGTAAAATAGAATTTTATGATGTTTTCTAAGGAATATTACATTATGGCAGTAAATTGTATCAATTTGTGTGAGCATCGTGTGGTTACTGGCTATCAATAAGCAAAATGAAAATAGTAACATATTCATTTGTTATATACTAAGGAAAGTTTATGTTCAATGACTTAGGGTAGTCATATTACATACATTACATATTTTTATAGAAATTTATTTAGATCTAGAAGAACTGTTTTATTTGCAGTTAAAATTTAAGTTTTAATATTTTGCTGATATTCTGACGTTGTTTAGATTTTAAATTTTAAATAATTGTCATTAGAATAAAACTAGACATTTCTAACAGAAATTATTACAATTATAAAAAAAATCCAGTTGATTATTTAATACTTCAAGCCAAGTTGCAAGCTGTCAAACGATGCTTTTATTTAAAATCTAGCCGCTGAAAGTAATAAACTATTTGAATCATGTGAATTTGGAGCTCTTAGGCAAAATATTTGGGATGTCATTTATAGAGAGTTAAAACTATATAAATAAAATTATGATATAATGCGGAGACCTCATCGATAGCCAAGTAATCGATTTAGTACAATTCATATTTGGATTTATAAAACTACAATGTAGACCAGAGGCATCATAAAAATTGTGAAACTTGTTTCATCAAAGGTTCAGATTTTTTGAAAATGAAATTATTCATTTGGTACTCATGGATAGTAAGATTTGTCAAATGAAAACTTAAAACATTATAATATAAAGTATCACGAACGCAGCACCTGTTTATGCTTTTGAATCTAAAAATTTTGCAAACCAAGGTTTTGAAATAATTTGTATCCAAAGATTTATCTGCAGGTTTCATTATATTTTAACTTTTGTTTAAATTGATGGAAATTATATGGGAGATTTCATCTTGAGGTATTTTTAAAAAATATTTTATTTATTATACTTATATAATAATTTACAAAAATAACTTTCGAAAATTGTTAAAGAAAAATTGAAAGCCATGTCGATAACTTTTAGCCTTCAAATTTTCCGGAAATCAATTGCGATCATTTGCAAATTATAAAAAAAAATCCAGTTGATTATTTAATACTTCAAGCCAAGTTGCAAGCTGTCTCAACGATGCTTTTATTTAAAATCTAGCCGCTGAAAGTAATAAACTATTTGAATCATGTGAATTTGGAGCTCTTAGGCAAAATATTTGGGATGTCATTTATAGAGAGTTAAAACTATATAAATAAAATTATGATATAATGCGGAGACCTCATCGATAGCCAAGTAATCGATTTAGTACAATTCATATTTGGATTTATAAAACTACAATGTAGACCAGAGGCATCATAAAACTTGTGAAACTTGTTTCATCAAAGGTTCAGATTTTTTGAAAATGAAATTATTCATTTGGTACTCATGGATAGTAAGATTTGTCAAATGAAAACTTAAAACATTATAATATAAAGTATCACGAACGCAGCACCTGTTTATGCTTTTGAATCTAAAAATTTTGCAAACCAAGGTTTTGAAATAATTTGTATCCAAAGATTTATCTGCAGGTTTCATTATATTTTAACTTTTGTTTAAATTGATGGAAATTATATGGGAGATTTCATCTTGAGGTTATTTTAAAAAATATTTTATTTATTATACTTATTATAATAATTTACAAAATAACTTTCGAAAATTGTTAAAGAAAAATTGAAAGCCATGTCGATAACTTTTAGCCTTCAAATTTTCCGGAAATCAATTGCGATCATTTGCATCCACATTCTCAAACTTTATAGATCGAATTTCGTGAGTTCGATTTAGTATATCTAATAGATATACTAATCGATAGGGCAAATTATTTTTATTGAATTCAAACTAATTTTTGCACAATATCTTTATAAATACATATTGGATATACGCATCTTGCATAATTTTCTGTGACTTTTACATTTTTGCACTATTAATTGAATAATAAAAGAACTAAATGAATTTACATAAGGTAGATCCTCCCCTATATTATACCTCGTAGATAAGCTTCCAGCTGTGTAATGGGTATTTGCTAGTTATAAATGTTCAGCGTTTTATACGCTTTCTTCATGAATATTCAATAGCGCTTTGTAATTTAATGATGGCAGATAAACAAAAATGCATGGAAAATGAATTTTCCGAGTTCCGTCATAATGGAAATAATTATGGATATATAAAATATATTAAATACACATTTTTTTATATTTGTATTTAACATATATACGTTTTTCATTTAATTTATTTACTATACCTATGGCTTCTAACGATTATTAAACTTTGTTGTAGGAGCTTTTATATGAATATTTTTTATATGAATACATATTCATATGAATAAGTTATACAAATTTGCAGGCATTATTTTATTTTATTTTGATATAGTAATGATTCTATTTTTTTTTTTTAAAATAGAAACATTATGATTGTATAAACGTCATAAACTTTTCTCAAATGTTTATATATTTTTCTTGATAGATTTATTAATTTAACTGATTTGATTTAGAACTGATAATTATTTTATATACAGTTCATCTCTTTTATGAGATAATAATTTCCATAAAAGTGGATGGATTGTAATTTACTTTTAATTTCTTTGCTTGTGGAATACATTAGCCCTACTATAATGAAAATAATAGCATCCAACTTACGTGAAATATATAGCGTTAGGTTTGAATAGTTATAACTTGATATGGTTATATCCAACTTTATTACATTTTTATGGTAATACGCCGCATATTTATCTCCAGAATAAACATTTTAATAACTGCTGTCCGAACTCAGTCATAATGAAGTTTAAATATCTATGACTGTAAATTTTAATCATAAACTATATTACATTTAACGTAATGAGATAATGGATAATGAAAGAAATATGTCGTAACTTTCATAGCTAAATCTTCTAATTTAGTATCCCATAAGCTCCATATACTGTAATTCAGTGAAATAATATATATTCCAACGCGTTTTGGCTATTTCGATCAAATATCATTTTTATTCATGACATCATCATAATTAAATTGTATATAGACATCAAGAGAGTTCGTATATTTTCAATTAACTTTTGATTAACAATCATAATGCCAATCATGATATTATGTAATTAGTTTTGTTTTATTTTTCATTTATAGCGCCCGCGGTTTGTTTTGGCAGTCGTGTTTATGAATTTTTGATTTTTCATCATGAATACAATGTGAGCCTATGCAACGATTTTTATATGTCGATTTTATAGAAATAAATATATTTATCGCACGAAGTATCAACCGTTTTCATCGAAATATTGATGTGTTTACATTTTATATCAATTAATGTTTTATACTATTATTTTCAACATATATTTCAATTACAGATATGATTTAACAGCATATAATCTTCTATAATTTTTTATCTGTAATTTGTTAGTAAACCTTTTATTATTTTGACTAAACAGTTTTATAGGGGGCTGCAGTCATTAGCATATTGTAAAACGGTTACTCTCTTTGTTTTTTTTTTCTTTTTTAAAAAGGAT